ATGGAAGATGCTGTAAGTAATTGATAACTGAATTATGAATTGTAATTATTATTATAATTAATATTACAAACGTCTTTAATGCTTATTTTATTTGTGAATCAATCAATCAATTAGGCTACATCTATTCTTGAAACTGTTCTTGAGGATTTGAAGAGACATCGAGATTTACTCTTGTCATTCAAGGTGTGATATTATAATTAAATTTTAAATAAATTTATTTATATCAATAATAATTTCTACCACTATATCTATATAATATCTATTACATTAATATTTAATTAATCACTTGATCAATATAATATATACCAGGATACGTTTGAGAGAAGGGATAGATTAGTAATTGATACTAGTGAGACTCTTAATAATAGAATATCAATAAATCAAGCAAAACTTAAATCATTATCAAGCCAAAAAACATCAGATCCGGAAGTAGAGAAATTGGCATCTGCAATTCAAAAGGTAATATATATATATTATATGCTTGTGTGCATACTTGTGTATGTATATGCTTGCATATTATAAACAAAATTATTATACATTCCTTATTTATATTTAAATATTTTCATTAAATATATATATTGTGCATATTAATATTCAATATGTCTCCGTCATCCCTATATCCCCATATCCTCATTATCTAATATTTAGCATCTAGTATTTATTCTAATATCTAATATCTATTCTCTAATATTTAATACTTCTCACACTTCACATTTTCTCGTATTTTAGGATGAAGGTGATCTTAAAGTTCAACTTAGAAAACAAAATTTTGTACGTTATTGTATGCATTCAGAACTCAATCTACTTCATAAAAGTTCAGCATTCGTCTCACTTCTATATCGAAACTTTATAAATGAACAAATGAAATACACACACCAACTTTATAAAAATTGGGATGTATTAAATCCCAAAGTTCGTGAGATGCCAATTGAAACAAACGGATTTGGTTAATTTGGTACATTTTTGTGTGATTGATATAGGTGTATATGAGTGTTTACATATTTGTTATTTATAAAATTTTTGTTTTATATTTATTTTGAAAATGAATTCTTGGATTTTTGATACAAATTCATAAAGCATATGATAATAAAACACTAGTTATATTGTATATTTATTTTATAACAGACATTTTTTATTTTAATTACTTTGTCCAAATATCTCTTCCAACTTTGATATTACCACCTTTCAACCAAACTAACCAATGATATTTATTTATTTTACATACCAGAGATAATAGTAATACTTATTTAATAATCAATAATGATCTTCTATTTTTTAATCATTCATAAAAAAATTAATTAGGTTAATTACTAAAACTAAAATAATCTACAATAATTTGTTCAATTCTTAAATCTACTTGTTCATAAATATATTTGAACTCTTGTTATCTAATAATCAAAACATTATAAGATTTTTATTTTAAATGTACTGTATACAGTCGAACCTCGTTTCAACGAAGTGGCTGGACATATAGGATTAAATAAAATTCCAAAGTGAAATTTGGATTATTATTATTATATTATTTACGTTATTTATACTCTTACATTTTGTATTGTTTCAATTGAGAGTTTGTTTAGTTTAATATAGTCTGATTGATCTTTATAGATTTTATTCTCTCATGATAAATGTTTAATAGTGAATATCATACTCTTTCTTCATGAAATACTAGTATAGTAGCAGTGATGATAAATATAAGCTATCCAAAACTAGAGAGTTTTGCAACTGTGCGAAAGTCAAAATGTTTCGCCACATTCGA